ATCAAACGGTTCACAGGGAGTCTAAAAGAACAATCTGTGAAGCTAAAAATTCTGCTTTTAATGATCTTTATAATAGATTAGATACTAAGAAGAGTGAAAAATATATGTATAAACTAGCCAAACAAAGAGAAAAGAAAAGTAAAGATTTAACTCAAGTAAAGTGTGTTAAAGATGAATATCAAAAAGTACTTTTCTTAGAAAAAGATATTCGACATAGGTGGGTGAGTTATTTTGATAAACTTTTTAATGATGTTTCTTAAAGTACGATCGACCTCAGTGATCTCAATATTGTGAATAATAATAAAACGTTTCATTTTTACTGTCGCGTTGGTAAAAAAGAAGTTGAGGAAGCTTTAAAGAAAATCAAGGGTGGAAAGTCTGTAAGACCTGATGATATCCCAATTGAAGTGTGAAAATATTCGGGAGATTTGGGAGTTTCTTGGCTTACTAAACTCTTTAATATTATTTTAAAAGCTAAAAAGAAGCCTGAGGAGTGGAGGAAGAGTATTTTGGTCCCCATTTTTAAGAATAAAGGGGATGCACAAGAGTGTGCAAATTATAGAGGAATTAAGTTGATGTGTCATACTTTAAAGTTATGGGAGAGGGTAATTGAACATAGGTTAAGACGCAGTACAAAGATTTCTCATAATCAATTTGGATTTTTGTTGGGCAAGTCTACTATGGAAGCTATACAGTTATTAAGAAATTGATGGAGAAGTTCAGAGATAATTAGGAGAATCTACATTTGATTTTTATTGATTTAGAAAAAGCTTACGATAAGGTTCCAAGAGATATCCTTTGGAGAGTTCTCGAGAAGAAATGTGTTGATATGACTTATATTGAAGTCATTAAAGATATGTATACTAGAGTTGTTACTTGTGTTCAAACTGAAGGAGGATTGACCAAATATTTTCCTATTTCTGTTGGTTTACATCAGGGATCGACTTTAAGCCCATATCTTTTTGCTTTAGTTATGGATGGTCTTACTGGACATCTACAGGAGGATGTACCTTGGTGTATGCTTTTTGCTGATGATATTCTTCTTGTGGATAAAACGAGAGAAAAAATCCAGGAAAAACTTGAATTATGGAGGCCTACATTGGAGTCTAAAGGACTTCGTTTAAGTAGAACTAAAATTGAATACATGGAATGTAATTTTAGTAGTAATAGCTCTAGTGACAGAAGTGTGAATTTGGGTGATCAAATTATTAAAAGGTGTGAACGATTTAGATATCTTGGGTCCGTTGTTCAAAGCGATGGTGATATAGATGGGGATGTTAATAGTAGAATTCAAGTTGGTTGGTTGAAGTGGAGGAATGATTCGGGCCTTTTGTGTGATAGAAAAGTACCGCCTAGACTGAAAGGAAAATATAAGACGGTGGTGAGACCTTCAATGCTCTATAGCGCTGAATGTTGGCCTTTAAAAGAGAAGCATAATAATAAGTTAAGTGTTGCCGAGATGAGAATGATTAGGTGGATGAGTGTCTTTACGCTTGGAGACAAAATGCAAAATCAATATATTCGTGATAGGGTTGGAATGTGACGGACAAAATTAGAGAAAGTCGTCTTAGATGGTTTGGTCACATTAAACGTCGACCATCTGATGATTCGATTAGGAGCGCAGATGTTTTAGATTCGACTTGTATTAAGAAAGGCAGAGGTAGACCTAGGAAGACTTGGGCTTATTGTATTAAAAATGATCTTAATTTACTAGAACTAAATGAAAATATGATACTAAATAGGACGCAATGGAGAAAAAGGATTCATGTAGCCGACCCCACGTAGTGGGATTAAGGCTTTGTTGTTGTTGTTGTTGTTGTTGTTACAAATGCTAATTTGGAAGCGAGTTTAAGCGCACCTTTTTTGAGGATGTTTTCCTATCTGTTTGGAGCCTTTACATGCACCTTTTTGGCGATGTTTTGGGTTGCTTTGGCTGTAGTATTAGAGCCTTTAAATGCACCTTTTTGGCGGTGTTTTTGGTTGATTTGACTTTAGTCTTGGAGCCTTTAAATGCACCTTTTTTGGGGGATGTTTTGCTAGCTTTTTGGAGCCTTTAAATGCACCTTTTTGGGGATGTTTTGCTAGCTATTTGAAGCCGTTTAACTCTTTTTTTTTTTTTGGGTTGATTAAAGTATTGATTGGAAGGGGATTTAAGCCCTCGTCTTGGGGGTTGATTCAATTGCTACTTTTGGAGGATTGAAACATTTTTAGGCTTGTTCATTTGCTGTTTTGCCTCTTCGCTCGGATAATTTTGGAAGTGGGTCGGCCTCCTCTATTTCTTTGTTTTGTTTTCCTCGCTCGATGAATGTCTCACGTGCTTATACCTTGTATAAGTGCGTTTAGTGTAGGGATATGTGGATCATCGAATGGGCTATAAGTTGGACGGTTCAGGGTCTAGGGTGATGATGACATTGTTTGTGCGTGTTAAGGTGAGATGATGGAATAGTATCTCTCGCCTCGATGACCTTCGATGAGGGGAGAGCAAGATTAATGATACTATTCACCTGTTCTTGGTGTGAAGTTGCCTCTTGATTTCTTAGGATGTCGGTAGTTCTAGCCCGATCAAGGTGAATAACTCGTTGGCTATCTAATTTTCTTAAATACTCACACATAACATAATACACACACACACACACACACACACACACACACATACTTTTCTCATAACACTACTACTTTTGACTGTTAAGTAAAAGTTCAATCTTACATGCATGTCAAATTAAGAATTTTGGGTGTAACCTATATAAGTCCACGTGTAAATCACTTTGATTAGGCTAGGAGTTGCCCTGCTTAGTTTATATGGTTGGTGGCTTCTATCCAGGGTTAAATTATAATGCACACAGCCCAACTCTGAGATTACCCTGACCTGAATACTTATTGTCCAGTTTGATCTTTCACATATAAGTCACTTTTTCTTACTTTCTCTGCAACATTTGCATACTTGTGATACTGAGAATTTTGCAGCAACGACAGAAACTTCCAGACACGCAAATTTATTTTACATTTGCTACATTTTATTGTCTTGCACAACACTCTTTACTGCATTTTTACTATGTCTTTACTATTCTTTTATTCATGCATTTTTAACTTCCAATAATTGCAAAGCCCCAGGGTAGAAAACAGTAGAACACCAGTTAATAGGTACCCTACGGCAGACCTTAAAACCCAACAATAATTACACATGCAAATACAAAACATAAACCCTAAGCCTGAAGCCGTAGTAGCAAGGAGCTTGAAGCAAGCTGCAGAGGACGAATGACAACTTTAGAGACAATCAACGTTCAACAGGGAGCGTATCTACTTCGATTAAACATTCTCTTGGTCTTAAATAATAATAAATTCATAGGACTTCGAGGTAGCTCGTCCAGCACGACATATATCATCATATCCTCTTTCTACACGACCATGTTGTGCAGCATAAATTCTAACTCTCCTTAGGTTCTTAGGACGTAAATCCTTATATCCTCTTAAGGCCTCTACACAACCATGTTGTGCATCATAAGTCCCAACTCTCTGTAGGTCCTGAGGTTGGCGTTCGGTACAACGTAAACTCTTCTATTTTCGCGGGCTATTTGCATAATCGAGTATTATGTAAATATAAGTCTCAAATAATAAAATTGGCAGGATTGAACACTTAAATAACATCATATCCAAAACACAGTCAAACAATGTGATAGTTTCGGAAGTCACCGAGATTTTCCTCGGGATCTATGACATCTACTAACTTTTACTCATTTGGACTCCAAAAATAATTGTTTCTACTTGAGCCACTCTTACTTTTCTTTTTCAGGTCCATCCTTGAAAAACTAAATTTTGAAATCTTGAAGCAGAACAACTGATCTTAATCGAGTGTTTTCTTAGTAACTTCGGTTATTTGAGATATAATTAACTGTAGGGGCTTAACTCTATAGGGAACGTGGAACTCAGGTAAAATAAACCCTAACTAATCTTTATATTAGGTAGGGGAACTTGTCGGTCATATATAAAAAGTTCACAGATCTAAATAAAGTCATAAATTTTTTAGTTTAAATGATTAAGTATACTTTTAAATGACCTGTTTATCTTTCGAACAATTTTGCTCTCAATCAAAATGTGAACTCATTTTATGCAACATTCTATTCTTCATTCATTTTTGACGCCACATTTGATTGTGCCGAGTCATGGAACTAAGTAGTCAATGAATATTATGGAAGAAGTTGAAATCATGCCTTAAATCTTCTTCTTCCTTAGTCTTCACGTTGTTTTTGTCATAATAGTGGATCGCCTTCCCTCTCTCTAGTTCAATCTCGACGGGCTTAGTGTCACCTCAGTCACATTTTGTTTTATTCTCTTGTCGTCAAACTCTCTCAAACTCTCCATCTATTTCTCTGAAGGCCTGGATGAATTGTGCGTGAACCTCTTTGCTACTTGATTTTGTTCGCCTCATCTCTTTTATATAAATATAGATTTATAATTACAATTATAATAAATATTATATATTACTTTTATGGTATATTTTTTTTTTCTATTTTACTATATATTTCTTGTAGAGATACTAGGTCATACATGAGAAATCTTCGTTTGATGAGATTTCAGACGATATTTTAACATACTCAAAATGGTTGTGTTTATCATTATTCATTTTTTAGCAATTTATTTTAAAAAAATCATTTATATTCAATGTATCCAAATGATGATCATTAAACTTACGTAAATGTTAATGCTTCTCAGATTTAATGATATGAGGCCTCTTAATTATTTAATTTGAAACTCAATTAGTTGGATTAATTGCACTTACTTAGCAGCCTCAATCAAGTTTAATCGTTAGTTATCTGTTGATTTTAGGTGTATTACATTTCCATGATATTATTTTATGTAGCATTCTTTGTAGAATTTTGAGCATCCTCTGCATTGTATCTGGCTTCTTATATTCAGTTAAGTACCAAGTACTCAAAATTTAATCGTTTCCCATTTGAAGGGCAATGTCAACTAATTATAGTTCTCTTGGATTATTCAACAAGGTATATTAATGAAGATTTATCAATTGTACCTATGATTAAAATGCTTAGAGAATCTGGGCGTGCTGTATTCTTGGTAACCAACAGGTAAATTCTCTTGTTATGATTAAGCACATGCATTTAAATTTTAGGAAGATTTACATGCGCACCACTCAATTCTTATGTATTTACGTATTTAACACCTAAACTTTAATTTTTACATATATGTCATCGAAAATATGTCTTTCACTTTTTAAATGTTAAAATAGTGATATTTTTTATGTGATATGAAAGATACGGGTGCTATAAATTTAAAAATCAAAGTTTATGGGTTTGATATGTAAGTACATAAGAATTGGGTTAAATGCCTCTAAATTTTGTTACGTTGTTTTTCTCATCAGTTCTAGTTTAACCATAAAGAAACAAGTTTTATTCAGCTAAGAGCTTATAGCTAGTTATTGTGCAGTCTGATTAGTGTTGTGGAATCTGGCTTGTGGATATACCCGTGTTGGGTTTGGAGCGCATAAGCATTGTTGTGATATTAGACGCAGTGCCATATCATAAGATATGGGGATGTAAAATTGCATCGAAATGGTAGGATACATATTTGACACTTAAGATATGGTTTGTGGATGTAAATGTATCAAAAAGGTTATATATAGATTTGGAATCAATAGACGGACTTGTAAATCGTGTGCATTTTAATATGCTCATAGGGGTCATGAATATACAAACATGTCAATGATTCCATTCTCTTGTAGTCATGGACAGATTTTGCTGCACCCCTGCATACAGTAGATAAATTGTTTGGAAAAAGGTAAACTAAAAGAAACTGAAATCATTAATGTGGTCATTAACCATAAAGAAACAAGTTTCATCACGACGAGCTTTAAGTATCCCAACGATGTACCAAGTGCGTCCTCACAATGCCTTACACATAATAGGTGCCCAAGTGCTTCCTTGCCATGATGTTTGCTTACTGAGAATTTTCCAACTATTCTTCTCAAGAATTATTATATATTTTTTTTTTTAAAAAGCCCAAGGGCTAATATAATAAAGATAAAAATACAGATAGATTTATATGGGTGGGCTTAAACACTCAATCCACACAGTACAACACACCAAAAAATGTAAAAGATTGGTACATATAGAAATAAAAAGAAACCCAAAAATCACCCGGGCGCTGAAAAAGTGTGGGTCATCCCAATCTGGTCTTGCCTCTAGCTCTAATTCTTGGTAGGAATCCAGCTAGCAGATTGATAAGGTGCTGACCATTACCCGTAGTAACCAAAGTATCATCCATAAGACTCTTGAGCTCTAATAGATCTCCATTTTTCTTCTTTCTCCTGGAATATATATATCTATATATATATATATTATAAAAAAAATCCAAGGGCAAATATATTAGAAAGGAAAGGTACAGATATGTTGGATGAGAGGGCCTAAAGTGGAATCCTAAGCACCCGGTATACAACATACGCCAAGGTCCCAAAAAAGTATATGTATACCCAAAAGACAAAATTATAACCTAGGCAAAACTTTACTCCAAAAGTCTCCCAACACTCCGAGATAAAAACATAAAATGGGAGCTTGAGAACAACCCAATGTATTCTTACCTCTTAGCTCTGGTTCTAGGTAGGGAGCCAGCTAACAAATGGTTAGTCTACTGTCATTACCCGAAATAGCCAAGAAAGTTCCTGAGTTCTAGTAGATCGCTCTTCTTCTTCTTCTTCTTCTTCTTCTTGGACGTGTAAACCTGTCATTCCTCATCTGAAGATTGACTCATTTGATCCGTGCATTGGTCCAAAGATTGTCGTGCATGTGTAGTTGTTGACCTCATTTTTGTGAGGTCTTAGTCTCCTACTCCCATAACCCATAATCTAGCCTTAGGAGTTCCTGGTTGACCATCTTAGCAGACTAGTAATGGAGCCCACCTCCCGTAGAACTTCAAGCCACTTCTTGACTCATTTTTGTGAAGAACTCGCATGAGTGGTTCCAAGCACTCAACTTTTAGTTGCAAGGGCTAAGGACCAACATGTAGAGGGCCCGAAATTGAGTTCCTATAGGATCAAACAGCCTTAGGTGAACCCTTTGTGACTCGATTACTCGCGAACGCCATTTTTTCATGCACTCACTGCACCACACACGATTTTGGCTTAAATTGACTCGCCCGA